CAATGGCCCCTTGATGTTTAAGAAGGAATACAACTCTAGCCTTGAGGCAATTTTTTATGGAATTAAAATACATATTAATCTCTCTGTCTTTTGATAAGTACCAAATGTAAGCAATCTGAAATTTACAGAAGAAAAAAAATTGGGTTTCCTTTTAGGGTAATTGCTGCTTTTTTTTTTTTTAGATTCTATCCCAGAAATCATAGTCAAAACTCCAACTTGTACTTTTACAAAAGAGAAGGGACATATTTATGAATCCAGGAAACAAAATTTGACACTCTTGTGTAAACACCAGGAAAGTTTGGTCTTCCGCATCCATGTCCCCAGCTAACGATGCCAGTCAAAATCCATTTTCCATCACTTTTTCTTCGACAAGATAAAGGTCCACCCGAATCTCCCTACACAAGAAGATAATGTAAGTAGGAAGTATCTTTCTCCTGTGATCATCAATTTTGTCATTAATGTGTTTAATGGATTGTATCAAAACTCTCATTCTGGAAAGTTTTCACTTGGCCAATTATAAGGTAGTTTGGAGAAGGGTCAGGAAATAATATGAAACTTCTAATGTCATTTGAGAATTATTCTTCCTAAAGTCAAAAAGCTGCATTTATCACAAGAAATGTAATTTCTTAGTCCAAGAGTATCTTCACAATATTCTTGTAGTGGAAACAACTTTCACACACCCCAAACGAAGAAAAAAACCTCAATAGTAGTGGAGGTAGCCAAAGTAGTAAGAGTAATGATAATAACTGCTAACATTTATTGAGTATGAGCTGTCTGCCAACCTCTATTTTGGGGTCGTTTAGCCCTGACAACAACCTGAGGAGCCAGGGTTATCTTGAAAAGTTGACCTTTGCCTTGGGGCCATGCAAATTCAGTGGTTGGCTTTGGATTCTGACAAAGAACAATGAAGAATTACACCCTGAGGAAACTCCTATGGCTTGCTGGCCTACAGCTGTCAAGGACAGATCACCCTCTTTTGAGAGTCCCTAATGATATCTCAACTCCAAAAAGCAAAGATGAAAATAATTCAAAGTGTAAACATAATTCCGACAGTATCCGTCCTTTAAATTATAACATCTGGGCTTTATTTTTCTAGTTTGGAGGACAGGTAAAGCTGCAACTTAGCTAGAGGCAAAGATAAAAAAGCATTCTGAATTTGCCCCCGAGTCCCACCCCCCAGTTCCAACCCTGCTTAAGTGAATTCTGGCTGGTGAGAAACTGGGCTCTTTTTATTTTAATTATTGCCACACCAGCTCTACTAAGTCTAAGTTGACCTGTAAACTCTGATGGCTAGGTGGAACAGGACTATATGACTGCCTAGTCTCAGGAAGCAGCCAAAACATAGCAGTTTTAGTATTAGACAGATAAGGGTTCACATTCCAGCTCAGGTATTTATTTACTAGCTGTGTGACCTTGGGTAATTTGCTTACGCTCTCTGTGTCCAGTTTCCTCTTCCATAAAATGGTCGTGAAAGACTTAAATGAATTTATGTAAAGGATCTAGTGCTTGCCACAAAATAGGAGTTCAGAAGATAAAATCCATTATTACAATAAGATGAGTATTTGTGGCACAGTGGCTAAGGTTTTAGAGAGATGTGGGAACAGCTCCCACTGCCCTCTTCAGCCTCGAAAACATCTGTTCACCTTTGGGCAATCATATAGTTATCTGCATAGATTGGAATCTAAGACTTGGAAACATATCCATGAAGATGAACTCCAACTGACCCCTGTCAGGAGGCCTAACCAGAGGCATAGGAATGAGTGTCCTCTGTTGCCTCTCCCACTCCTCTTTCTCTATCCCCAGCCTATGCATCAAAGGAGCAAGTGAATAAAACCCTGGTATTTCAGTAGAGAAATGGCTGCTAACCATCCTAAGACGCTCTGTGTGTGTGTGTGTGTGTGTGTGTGTGTGTGAGAGAGAGAGAGAGAGAGAGAGAGAGAGAGAGAGAGAAATAGAGAAAAAGAGAGAGAGGACTGCTTTATTTTTTAGTTCTTGGTTACAAGAAAATAAATCATGGCAGAATGATAAATCCAAATCTCATTTTCTAAATGTTGGAGGAAAATACATGGGAAGCAGAAAATTGAGTTTTAAAGACCTAATTATTTAATCACCTTTCCCTGATCTTAGGCAATTAGATTATAATTAGTCTCTGAATTAAGGGAAATACCTGTCCTAGTTCTTTTCCAGTGTTGTGCAAGTTACACATGAAAGCACGTATGGAAAGCATGGCATCTTGGCAAAGGAAAGGTGTGATGGCTTACCCGGCAGGCATCTCTCTTGCCTGACAGGACCCCTGCACACAACATCCGCGAAGTGATGATCCCATAGGTAGAAACGCAGAGGGTTTGGTCAATGAGCTCTACCTCTGCTTGCTGCAAAACAGGGGAGCCTTTATTGTCTGGAAAACACATGGGAAGTGGAAATCAGGGTAATGATTACACTTATTCGGGGTGCCGTCAGACCACCTACTCACATTATCTCCTTATCCTCAGAACAATTTTTTATGGAAATTCTTTTATAATCCCCTTTTGCTGATGAAGAAATAGAGGATGAGGAGACTAGAGGGAGTGCCCAAGCTGACGGCAAGTAACAGAGCAGGACTCACACCCAAGGTCTGACTCAATCTCCGGCTGAGCCACACTCCCTCGCTACTTACTTCCTGCTTCCGGTAGGACTGTGAATCCCAACAGTCACTAATACTGGTTGCGAGGCCTACCTTTTAAATGGAGCAGCATAATCTGATATACGGGAAAGAACTGGAAACCATAAAGACATAAAAGTTTTGTTATACCCTTTTCACTTCCTTTTTATCCTGCCTGGCTAAAATGATTCCGAAAAATAAGTACACTCACACTCATGCTTATAAAGAGATGTCCCATGATAAGCTGGTTGAATCGACTCTTCCCTCCTGTGATCTAAAATAATGTCATTAAAGCCCGGAGCACTGTCCTGATAGGTTATGCAGATTGGAGTCGTGAGCCTCTCTCCATCATTAGGGTTCTGAGATCCCAGCAGGCCCCTGGGACATTAACTCACACGCCAGCAGTGAGCCCTGGAGAAGCTGCCCGCAAGGAACGTTTAGAGAGTATCAAAAGGAGGGCAAGGGTAAGAGTCAAAGTTGGCAGAAAATGCATCTGTCCTTAAACCCTTGGAAATGGCTGCCCAGGAATCTGAGATGTGGGGGAGACGAAGGAAAAGCATCAGCCCTGGGGCGGTGTTCACAAAGCTGTGGCTTCTTCCACTCACTGCATATTCAGAATCAACCTTTGATCCTAGACCATGAAACACCTTGATGGAGCAGATGTAGGGACATCAGGACATCCCTACCACTCTGACCTTTGTGCATAATGATAGAGATGCCAGCTAGGGTGAAGGGATTGTAAAGAGGTATCCTCTCTGGGTGGTCCAGTTCTAGGCTGATGTACCCTCAGGTCTGAATTTGCAGTCTGGGGAGCTAAGGACAGGCTGGTTTTCAGTCCTGACTCTCATCTATCTGGCAAGTTGCCCTTGTGATGGACAGATCTGCACAACCCTCCAGAGAGTTGCCTCTGACTTGACATAATAGGGTTTGCTGGGGGGGGAGGGTGTGGGTGTCCTCTTCTTTAAGAAAAGGAATCCCTTCTTTGGGTGAAAGGGAACCTAAAGAGTAAAGAGGAACTCTCTTCTGTAGTGGAAAACCTAGCAAAATTTGGAAAAGGCCCATACCGTCTCTCCAATCTTGCCCTGTTCATAGAACGCCCCCTCCCTGCCACCCCTGATGTAGTGGGTCTTGCTTCTTTTGGGGGCAAAGGAAGAACATCATAAAATAGAAATAATTAACACTGCCTCCATTCTACTTCTTAGAATTATCAGGAAGCTCAAATGAAAACATATACAAAAACCCCCTATGAGCCCCAAAGCACTCCATCAACACAAGTTAGTATTATCTGGAGGGGGAGGGCATGACCCTTCACCCGTTCACACACCTGCTTCGTGCCTTCGCCCCCAGCCAGTCACCCAGCACTTCTCCCCACCGCGCACTTTCTGGCCAGCAGGAGGGATGCATATTGGCTGAATGAGCTGTTTCAGGGTCTCAGGCCAGGCTGTACTGAGCTGTAGCAGAGCAATGTCATAGTCAAAGGTCTGACTGTTATAGTACTCATGGACCACAATTCTTTTCACTGGGGAGATGAACTTGGCATTCCCCTGCACGTACATCCCGAGGTGAGCAGTCCATGGCGTGGGGTCTGACAACCTGGCAGAAAAGGAAGGAAGCATGAAGTCAGTGGCCAGGGTTTGAAGAACCATCCAGGGTTTGGACACAAGCCCTCTGCAGCCTGACAAGGGCTAAGGGAAAGAAGCCTCCCTTCCAGTCCTATTGTAGTCCCTGGCTCTGTCCGCGGACATGGCGAAAAACACAACTTTTCCGAGCCTCCCTGTCTCCTAGTAAACAGAGTTGAAGGAAGGTGTAGTAGGGGTGGTGCATGGTCCAGAAAAGTCCCTCTGCCATCCTAAAGAACTGCTGGAAATTCTGTTGCCCCTGCTGTCATGAACCACACGCAGGTCAAGAATGTGACTAGAATTAATTTGTTACATTCTTCCTATTCATGCTGACATAGGCATCTGATGGGGACAAACAGGGCCGATAAGACAGTGATCTGGGAATCCTTTTGCCAAATTCAAATGATATGAATTCAAGAGAATTTAGAAATCAAAGTACAATATGGAGGAATTTGATAAAATTCCTTCTTGTCATCCATCTACCAGAAGCCTAAAAGATCACGGCTACAACTGCTCAAGCATGACCATTCACAAGGGCCCCACTCTTTGCCAGCCCTTCCAGAACTCTACTTCTGACCTTTGTGGCCTTGCACAAATTTACTGAGGGTCTTGTGGTCTCCATGTGAGGTATCCATCTCCACCTGCACAGCAGCCTTGTTCTAGTGGGGTAAAGAGATTGTTCTAGCGGGGTGAAGAGATTGTGAAAGCTTTGCAAGAAAAATAAGGACAGAGTTCAAAGAGTGTGGCCCCGAATCTGCTGGCCTGACATCTCATGGTTGGCATCGGGGACCTGGGGGAGTATTAAGGTTAACATATTACTTGGAGCAGTGTCATAGTGTAAAAGACTAATGATCGAAGACAAGCATAGCCGTTTTAGTCATGAACGTGAATTCTGTAAGTTCCAAAAGAAGCACATAGTTCAATTATATAAAACCCTTGGAGGTTTTATATTAAATTATTATTTTATTTTTTACTTTATTTTTATTTATATTTCATTTATTTTTATTTATTTTCTATTTTATTTATACTTTATTTTATTTTTTATTTCATTAAATTATTATTTTATTCAAATATTAAAAACCCTTGGAGTTTCCTAAATGAATAGAGCCACAAAGCTGTCTTTTATTATGTTGTTATGTTAATGTTGACTTTTGGACCCCACCTAAGGCCGGGGAGCTGGTGGCCAGGAGAACCAACTATGTAATTGGAGGGTTGCAACTTTCAGTCCCACTCGCTGACCTCTGAGGAGGGGAGAGGGGCTGGAGGTTGAATCTACTGCCAATGCCAATGACTTAATCTTACCTGTGTAATGAAGCCTCCATAAAAACCCAAAGGACAGGGTTCTGGAGAGAGCATGATAGCTTCTCACCCTTTCCCCAAACCTTGTCCTATGTATCTCGTCCCTCTGGTTGTTCCTGAGTTACACACTTTTACAATAAACCAGTGATCTAGAAAGTAAACCACTTCTCTGAGTTCTATGAACTGCTCTAGCAAATTAACTAAACCCTAAGAAGAGACGGTTGGAACCTCTATAGCTGTTGAGCCAGAAGAATAGTGTCAACCTGGACTTAGAATAGGTGTCTGAGGTGGGGAGGAGGGAAATGCCTCCTAGGTCTGAGCCCTTCACCTGTTTAATCTGATGCTATCTGCAAGCAGACAGGGTCAGAATTGAGTTAAATTGCAAGACACTAAAGTCAAAGAGTTAGTTGCCTGGTGGTGTGGGAGCCCCCCCCCTCCCCGCCCGGCCAACCACCAGTTTGGAAATTGGGTGCAGAATCATTACCCTTTCACTCCAAATAGAAGTCCAGTGCCTGTTCTACACACACACACACACACACACACGCGCGCGCGCGCGCCATTTGAACTGCTCGAATGTCCCAGTGGGCAGCTTCCTTCCACAGCTTGAGGGCAGATGTATGGTCTGGGATCAGAGAGTGTGCCCTCTTAGACTAAGAAGTGAGATGCCCTACCTGTTTCCGTGGAAACAGTGGGCCGCAGAAAGAAGCCACTCCCTGGAGATGACCGAGGCTGCGCAGTAGGCCGAGCCGACAAAGTGGAGGCTGACTTGCCACGGCCAACCCCCTTCCTGTGTGTCGCTGCCCCCAATGATGCGGTGGAAGGCGGAGGAGCCCCCGCTGCAGCCTTCGGAGAAAGGAAGGGCCACGTGACTTAAAAGCAGACTCGGAGTGGGGGGAGAGGAGCAGACTTGGAAGAAAAACTGGAAATTAAATCGGGTTTCAAGCTGCATTGGGAACTGAGGCACCAGACAAGCAATTTGAAACCTCTTGCTTCTCTAGAGAAAAGGCACCCCCAGACCACTCCCTCCGGAGAACAGGCGGGACACAGAGTCTCTGGACAATAAAGCACATTGATTCAAGGAAGAGGGGCCTCATTAGCAACAGCTGCGTGATAGGGACAGTAGCCTTGGGGCTTAGATGATTGGGGAGGAAAAGATTAGTTCCAAATGCAAGAGAAGCGAGTGCATCTTAGGGGGCGCGCTGATTTGAGAGAAAGATAAGTGAAAACCTATTAAGACAAACTAGTTACCAGAACAATTATTTTCCAGGGCACAGTTTTTTTGTTTTGTTTTGTTTTTTAAATATTTTATTTATTTATTTGACAGACAGAGATCACAGGTAGGCAGAGAGGCAGGCAGAGAGAGAGGAGGAAGCAGGCTCCCCGCCGAGCAGAGAGCCCGATGCGGGGCTCCATCCCAGGACTCTGAGATCATGACCTGAGCGAAGGCAGAGGCTTTAACCCCCTGAGCCACCCAGGCGCCCCCCAGGGCCCAGGTTTGATAAGGATGCGTAACTACCCGGCCGCCAAGGGGCCAGTTAGAGACCACAGACTAACACATGGCAGATTACAGTTTTCAGGGCGCAGCCGAAGAAAACAGCAGCAGTTGGCGTTGATTCTAACGCAAGGCTTAAGTCACGGTCATCCACCGTGTTCCAGTTTCTGTTTCTTTTCTCGCGGACTTTTTATTTAGGAGCCTCTCCCTTGATTAGAGTTACCAGAAAGTGAAAGTTCTCATTATAAGCACCTGAGGCTTTAATGCTTGTTGTCGAGAAAGCAGACAGGATCCCTTCCAAAGGTTTTAATTCTGAGAAACCATTTCAGACGCAGTTCGCCAATATTTACTATTCTTCCCAGGACCCCAACTTTTGCCAGGGGGATTTACCCCAAGAAGGGAATAAAAATGAACAACTGGAACATGAGGAGGGCATACAGGGAGTCGGAAGGAGAGTATTTCTACTCACTGCAGCCTTCTTCGTCGCTTCCATCTGGGCAGTCCACGGCCCCATCACACTGTGCGTTTTGTTTCCTAAAGCAAATATCATTGCCGCATTTAAAAGTCCTGTGGCTACATGGAATGCCTAAAAATGAACAAAAGAGGGTAGAGTTTTTCCTGCCCAGAAACTTGAGGGAATGACACTTGAGGGAATGAGACTTGAGGGAATGACACTCAACTCCATCCTCCAAGGATGGGGTTGCCCGGGCATCGGTATTTGCCGCTCTGGGCAACATGGCAGAGGGCAATGAAGTGAGCCCATGGTGACCAGCCCCCTCACCCCAGCAGAGCCATCGGAAGCCAGGCAGGCAGGCAGGCCACCTGTTGAGAATCAATCCCATGGCCCCTCCTTTCTTCTACCAGAGATGCAAAGCGGTTGGCCTTATTGGTTTCTTTAGGCCGTGGCCTATTGATTATTTTGTCGTGCTCTCCAAGAAAATTTTGAGCAAAGGGCAATACCATATCCAGTCCTTTCACAGCATTATGGGGGAAACGGTTAGGCTTTGGGAATCCTAGCACATTTGTTCACAACTCTAGTGGTGTGTGTTTCTGCAGGGGCTGGAATAGAACATGCCATGCCATCACGGTATCTGGCAGGTCCTGCTAGATCACGTCCTCAGCATCCTTTACTCTCCAGCGGCATTAAAAGCAAATAAGCAACGAAAATCTTCCAGCATTCACATGACACACATGCACATGCGCGCACACACACACACGCTCAACACACACACTCAACTCAAACAGTGACCAACTGTCCCGTTTTGCCTGGTCCCAGGAGGAATCCAGGGAACTGGGATTTTCAGTGCTGAAACTGGGTAAGTCTTGGCAACACCGGGACACATCAGTTTTCCTACCACCCCAACCCAGGGGTATTCAGTTCCCACTTAACGGAGTACACAGGAAGAACGGCAGAGCGCAGAGGACTCTCCCTCACTCTGAGTGCAGTTCTGCTCATCCTGGCCGTCCTCACAGTCCCTGAAGCCGTCACAGACCAGAGGGCCGGGCTGCCTTAAGGAACTGGCATTACAGGCAGGCTTAGGAGTCACTGGAAGGAAAACACACAGAAAGCTCATGAGCCTGAGACATCTTGGGCCTCTGAGAACCAGCAGTGCCCCTCTAATGGTGCACATGGCTAAGATGACTTACATAAAACACAAAGTGTCTTTTCCTCCAACCTGACACCTACCAGAGAAAAGCAGAGGTTGAAACTTCACTGTAATCCCTAGTGCTCTGAGTTGGTCAGGTCTGGTTTTTTCTTTTGCCCAAACACATTCAACTATGGCAGTTTGTGTACTTAATTACAACTAAATGCATCCTGAGATTTTCTTTTAAGGTAAAGAAAAATCATAAGTTGTTATCTAATTTGAACTTGTCTGGGGCGCCTGGGTGACTCAGTCAGTTCAGCTCTAATTCTTGATTTCCGCTCAGGTCACTGTCTCAGGGTGAGGAACCTGGTTAAGATTCTTTCTCTCTCTGCCCCTCCTCTCTCTCTCTCTCTCTCAAAAAAAAAAAAAAATCAAATAACTAAATACATAAAATTGAACTTGTCTGCCTTCCTAAACAAAGTGGGAGTGGCCTTAACTTGAGGATTTCTTATTCATTTTTCTTTTTTTAAATCTCAGGGCCCTGACTACATAGTAGGTGCTCATTAAAGTTTTGTTGAATAGATTAACAGCTATGAGATCTTAAAGGACAATAGGCTTGTCATCTGTGTAGGAAAACTGTCTTTAAAATGATTTGTCCTGGGTGATCTATTTCATGAATTAAGAAACACCATTGTAGGGGCGCCTGGGTGGCTCAGTGGGTTAAAGCCTCTGCCTTCGGCTCAGGTCATGATCTCAGGGTCCTGGGATCGAGCCCCATATCGGGCTCTCTGCTCAGTGGGGAGCCTGCTTCCTCCTGTCTCTCTGTCTACTTGTGGTCTCTGTCTGTCAGGTAAATAAATAAAAATCTTGAAAAAAAAGAAAAAAAGAAAAAAAAAAGAAACACCATTGTAAATTATCACAAGCTTTCTTCTTTGGAATATTTTCATGAATTGCCTTTGGACAAGGGACAGGCACACTTATATTAGCAAGCACTCTTGGAAGATATGATTCCTTTGACATTTCTGGTTTTGTGAAAAGTGATCATTTTTTGTTATTTGCTCTCGTGTTTTCAGTGGCATCTCTTGTTAGGGGCTGGAGGTAACAGGGGAGGACATGACTGCCCTGAAATGTTCATTCAGCTTCTGGGTGTACCTAGCTGACTCCTAGAGAATATTTTCCAAAATGGCACAATGAGAAATAATGATTACCAAAAACAGCCCTTTTTATACAGTAACAATAATCATAGCAGGGGATGATAATAATGTAAAAAAACACCAGCAACCTTGCTCACTATATAACGGCCAGCATGTATTTTCTTAAGCAACAGAAAACCTATAGATTGAGAAGGTCACTGAGCCCTAAGTTAAGAGAGTTTTACTTTGTTTTGTCAAAAAAATAAATAAATAAAGGTGTAGAGCCACAGGTGGTTTTTCACAAATATAAGTTTTTCATAGTTATATTAACTGTACTATTTCTCCAAGAATATGAAAGGAATTAAATAGCTTCACCGTCGCAATTGTATTTGAATGAAAGTCTGGATCTTTAGGAGAAAGCATTGCCAATGGTGTCATATGGTCTGATGAACTATCCTCTCCATACGACTCCCTGAAACTGGAGATAGATTCAGGAATGATGTGCAAATCGTAACGAAAAACCAAGAGAGAGAATCGCTGTCCAAAATAGGAATTTCCAATACCCTGCCCCTTCGTCATTGCATGACGCTGTTGCAAAGTATACAGGCAATAATAGCAATAACAGTAATTCTCTCCTTCCCAACACCAGTGCTCCATGAATGAATGGGCTGAAAGGGGTGACTTCTCTGTTAGTTGAAGATTGTGGTTCATTGAATTACTGGCCTCAGATCCTCACTCCCTGTGGGAGTATTATACACTATTATACACCTCCACTTTTGCATGGCCCCAAAGTGTGTGTGATAAGCTTCCTGCCCCTTGACTGTGGCCTTAGCTCTAGGATTCGCTCTGAGTGATGGAATATGACCTAAGTGATGGTGTGCCGGTTCCAAGCCCAGAACTTAAGAGGAGCACTGTGGTTTTGCTCACCCCTCCTTTGCTACTACCACTGCCATGGCCAGCCCACTGGTTCAATGAGAAAAGGAGCCATGAGCAGTAGATCTGACCCCAACGTGGAAAGAACCAAACTTAGGAGGACCTACTGCTTAAAACAGAAGGACCCAGCTGAGGCCAGCCTAGATCAGTCCTATCTCAAACAACTCACAGGTGCATGGTCTAGAATACATGATTATTGTCAGTCACTGAGTTTTGGGTAACTTGTTATGCAGCAATAGCTAGCAGCTACAAAGACCCAGGATATACATCAGCAGCAACGATGGCCCTGAGAAGTTACTTGTTCCTAAGAAAGCCACAGAAGAATTCAAATACCCACCACAGAAAAGTTCGTCACTTTCATCAAAGCAGTCATTTACTCCATCACATCGCTGGGCCTGAGGGACACACAAGCCAGAGGAGCATCGAAAAGATCCAACAGGACAGGCTAGAGACAATAAAACATGGGAAGTCTTGGGTGAGTCCCTAAAAGTCGTCAGACCACATGAACAAAGAATGATGAAGTATTAGGTGGTTAAGGAATTGGCCATGTAGATACAGTAATTCTACAGTTTCTCCATCAAATCAAGCTATAGGAGACAACGGAAAGACAAAACAAGTGACTTTAGGAGAGCAGAGAAAGTAAACTAACCCACCAGAGGCTCTGAGTGGACACTGGCTCCAGGTCACAGGTATAGTCAAACTTCCACTATCTCCATCTTTCACTCAGCACTCTGGCTTCATCACTGACTTGGAGAAAGTGAAAGCTGGAATATGTTTTAGAGAGTCCAGCAGTCTTGGGATACAGTCTTTAGACTCCTGAGGGAATTACAAGTGGCCTTCTGGTGTCTCTGAATCCTATATGATCACAGGCACTGTTCTAAGGACTCTGTGCTTTTAAGCCCATTTTCAAGTGATCACTGTCCCCAAATACATTAGTAACCACTGATCTTTGACACTTGGACCTAGAGAGATTAGTGACTGGCCTCAAAACTCATGACTCCTGCCTTCTACCTCCCAGTCTGCTTCAACCAGGCTACTCATCAAAGATCCATCTTCTGCCTGATCTTGAATTATAAGTCCTGGACTTATAGCTAAGTATATTAGAAATAATAAATCCTTTGTCGCTATCGTCTGAATGTTGGTGGGCCCCACTAATTCTTATGTTGAAATCCTAGTGCCCAATGTGGTGATACTAGGAAGAAAGACTTTAGGAAAGGAATTAGGTGATGAAGGCAGAGGCCCCATGAATAAGATCAATGTCCTTATAAAAGAGGCCCCGCAGAGCTCCCTCAGCCTCCTCCACCATTTGAGGATACAAGTCTGTGACCCAGAGAGAGCCCTCACCTGACCATGCCGACATCCCGATCTCTGACATCCAGCCTCCAGAACTGTGAGAAATAAATTTCTGTTCCTTATAAGCTACCCAGTCTGGAGTACTCTGTTAGAGTAGCTGGACAGACTAAGACACTCTCCTTGTGCAAAAGAATGAGGGAAAATCCATGGTTTGGTCAACCCCTATCTTCCTGGCACACAACGGAGAGGGTAGGTTTCTAGAAAATATTCATGTTTGAAAAAACAATTGAAAATAAGACGACTCACTATTTACCTGTTATTCTTGCTGGAAATTGTAATATTCTGATATTCAGAAGTATGATAGTCCAGATCCAGAAGCAAGTATATTGGCAAAGAAAGAAGGTTCTAAATGAGCTTTCTCTCAAGTCTTATCCTCATGGAGTGATTAACCCTTACTTTTCCCCTTTTAAAATGGATCAAGAGTTTCCTGAGTCAATATCTAGTCTCTCCAGCTCTAAAGACTTCCCCCAAACACTGCTGACTACCTCCTGGCCACTGTCCCCATGGTTCTCGGTGTGGAGGGTAACATTTTGAGTCCTGCTGTTTGAACTCTCCTTGACCAACCAACTCTCCCTATGGGTCATGGGCTGAAGTGAATCACAACGGTTGTCTTCTGATCCACCAAATGTTCATATAAACATCATATGTACAAAGACTTAAGAGTAGCAGGGACAATAAATCAAGAAATGGGTCTGTCCCATATAACATAAGAATAACATAAGAAAAAACCCTTTCTCAATTGTAACAGAGAATTATGTCATTTCTTCTACAATTTAAATGATAGTAGTAATAAATACATAAGTTTATGTCTTATTGATTATGTATTTTGTTTATATTATGTGTATTTATAATATATTTATTTACACATTAGTAGTAACTAAGCAGAAATAAATCCATTTTTATTCCTTAATTTCTCAAAGTTTAGAGTTACGAAGGATGAGGCTCTGTTTAATCGTTTATTAGAGTTTTCTAAAAAGCAAATTCCAGGCTTACGTTGACTAATGTTGTAACTTCCATATTCCACCAGAAGCGGCTGGTCGGAAAGCCTTGAACTGCACTGCAGCTGAATGCGAGCGAGCGGACTAGGCACACGGAAAATCGTCTGGTGATCCATGTAGGAGCCACAGTACCTGAGGAGGCGAGAGTCAGGGAAGAGGCGTGATGAGGCTCTGTCCGCGCATCCCCATTGACAGTGAACACACAGACACTTTGGCACTTTGGGCTTGGTAAGCAGAGATGCTCACCGCAGAGCTAACGGTAGTTCTCCAACGTATGCTTAAGTGACTGACAGAAGTTTCTGTCGCCTCGATTTTCTACTCTGCTAAATACAACAGCAGTACTCTTGACTGTTATCTAGTGTTCTCCTCACCAATACTTGCAATCATTAGAAATACGGGTCCTCTTTTTCTTTCTGTGTAAATATAACAAGAAATGCCTGTTTTTGCCCACAAACCTCGCCACGGAGCAGAGTGGAATCCATGAGCTCAGGATGAAAATATGGAAAGAACCCAGCAATAGTTAAAGTAAAACACAACAATATTTTTTTCCAAATGAAATTGAAAACCGATGTGCACTTTGGGGTTTGTCCTTGGTAGAATTTCAAAATAACAATGTCTGCCCACAATATTTCCTTACCTTGATTTTTCTTACTTCTTGTACCTAAGAGCAGATGCCCCTCCTGTTAGTAATTCTTACAATATGAGCACTGTGGTTAGTAGAACATGAAATATTACTGTGCTCTCTAGGGGCCCGTGGTAAGTGAGGTCTCTGCCCTGTGTAGGCAAAGCTCTTCCCAGAGTGAAACCTGCAAGGTCTCAAAGGGAAATAGCAAGCACACGGGCTGAGGAGGGACATCCTCCACTGGAACTTGTGAATGCCAATCGCTTCTCACCCCCAAGGCCCTTGAGCTGGAGTTTAGAGGGGAACAGTAAGGAAGGGGGGCATAGTGGTGGCTAATGGAACTAAAATTTAAAAAAAAAAAAGTGAGAAATTAGAGAAACCAGCAGGAGTTGGTTTACAGATACAGACACATGACAGGTAAGAAAACTGAGAAGTCGGGCTGTCTGGGTGGCTCAGTGGGTTAAGCCTCTGCCTTCGGCTCAGGTCATGATCCTAGGGTCCTGGGATCGAGCCCCACATCGGGCTCTCTGCTCAGCAGGGAGCCTGCTTCCCTGCTCTCTCTGCCTGCCTCTCTGCCTACTTGTAATCTCTCTCTGTGTGTCAAATAAATAAATAAAATTTTTTTAAAAAAAGAAAGAAAAGAAAACCAAGAATTTAAATAGGTGAAGTAAAGTGTTCAAGTTCAAAGTAGTGAGAAAGTAGAAGAAGGATTAGGACTCAAGTCTGTTGGTACTAAGCCCTAGAACTTTCTAGGGCACCAACAGCTTTCCTATCAGGAACTTTGCTCTGCAGAACTTCCTAGGAAGAACATCCATTCCTTCAGGGCTTATAGGCTGCCTTCTAGCTGCTGTGAGCTCGCACACCCCATCCTCACCTTCTCTGAACTCAGGAGCACTAGGCTTCCTTGTGCCGGCATTACCTTTTCCTACTTCCCCATTATGCCTTTAGGTAGCTTTTCAGCAAGGTATCAGAAATTAGTTCAGTTAGATTCTTTCCTTTTTAGATGAAAATAACTGATAATGGGAAGGGCTGGCATTTTAAATCCTAAGGGCACAACTAGCATCAAAAGAATCGGATAGGATTTCTCCCAGCTGGCAAGACAGAGGGAAGAGCTGGCCCCTTGGAGAAAGTATTTAGGGCAGAGAGCTTTTCTGGTATTGATTGGTATTCTTGGGAGAAGATCTTGTTCATACTTTGGCAGGAACACTCTGTGGGTGGTGGGGGTTGTTACTTAGGACAAAAAAGAAATAGTATCACATTTTACAAAACAATTGTAAAGATTTGTTTTCTGGACCTCTAATGAAATACCAGAATGCGATATTCTTAAAACTTGGAGAGGAAGCACATTCCATAGTATTTACCCATCCAATGTCATTTCCAAAGCAATTTTTTTTAATACAGTTGACACATGATGTTACATTAATTTCAGTACACAAAATAGTGATTCAACAACTCTATCCAAAACAATCATATTAATTATAATAATGGTTAATATTTCTTTGGTATGTAGTATGCATTATTTAATTGAATGCTTACCATAAAAAAAATCCCTCATCTCATTTACAGACTGAAAATCAAAGAGATTAAATTATTTGTCCTAGTTAATACAGCTATGAATGACAGATCTAGAATTTGAACCCAGGTATTCTGCCTCCTACATAACAGACCCTGATTCAAAGGTACTCCCAAAAGAAGTACAATCCACGTCTTAATAATGGATCCAAGGATGCTCTTAAATCAGGTAGGACTTATCCCAGTGAGGACAGAACCAATGACTACTTTAGCTCATAATCCGAGAGCCTAAAGGAAATGAAAGAAGGTTATTCAGGAAAATCATTTAGAAAAGGAAAGCCTCATTCATGGATTAACAATGAGCACAAAATTAGCAGGTAAATCCTTTAGGATAACTTCACAAAAAAAAATCTTACCTCAAAGTAAACTTCGAAGCTATTCTGCTATAAAGACAGGACATTCTATATTCTTTTAAAAAGATTTTATTTATTTACTTGACAGAGATCACAAGCAAGCAGAGAGAGAGAGAGAGAGAAGAAAGCAGGCTCCCTGCCGAAGCAGAGAGCCCGATGCGAAACTTGATCCCAGGACCCTGAGATCATGACCTGAGCCAAAGGCAGAGGCTTAACCCACTGAGCCACCCAAGTGCCCAGGACATTCTATATTTTTTATTACAAGATCTATTACAACTTCAGAAGCAAATAAAGAATAACAACCACTACAGGACAAATGAAAGGCGAGAGGGAAGAGCTCCTCGGTCAGTACAGGAAGCTCAGTCATCTAGATTTCTCTCATCAACCTCAACCCATGTACCAGCCTCAGAATACAGCCAGGCTAGTGTAGCCTCTCCTCCTGCAAAGAACTGGCTAAAGGTTTCTACCTTTCCTATCACCAAGATTCCTATTTACTATTTCCTCCAGGGCTACATGGTTTGAAAGACTTCATCTGCCAAGCTATTTTTGTAAAATGTATAGTATATACACCCATAGCCCAGCAGCAATGAGCAATGAGCCAAGGACTTGGGAGTCATAAGACATGGATATGAATCCTGGCTTAATCACATATAACTGAGTGACCTTGAGCAAGTTCTTAGCCTCTATATCCTTCTGTTTCCATATCTGTAAGTAGTAAACTGCAAACTCTTTGGGAACAAGGAATCCAAGGCTTTGAACTTCTGGGTCAGGCCTTTCATCAGATTCCTTACATCCAGAACCCACTTACATGTGCTCATTAATTTCCCACCATCCATGGTCACAGCCTTTCGCACTCTTCTTGGTTATTGAATAGTTATGGAATTTCAGTGCTATGCCAAGGGTTGAGAGCGAAGTCTGTGAAAAACAAACATAAGTCAGAAAAATGTTTCAGTTGAAGGACACATTTCAGGCTGATTCCTCATTCAGAGCTCATTCCCTTGACTTGCTGTTCTTGGGGCATTTTATTCTTTGTGCCCTATGGCTTTTGGTGGGGTAGACCCAACTCCCCTCCCCCAACAAACTGGAATGAGGAGAGCATAATAGAGAGGGAAGTGGGTGGCCCATTTCCCAGGGAGCCGCTGTTAAGTCCCAGTTTCAGTGAGCTGGGTGACTTGGGACACATTAGATTATCCCTAGGTGTCGGTTTCCTCCTTGTAAATGAGCTTGAAAACACCCCCTTGTTAATGAGTGCACACAGTTTCCTCCTTTGCTGACAATAACGACATAGTTTATTTAAAGCACTATTCAGATTATTTAAATAAAGGAGAAATGAATCAGCGTCCTCTTCATATTCAACCTGGGTATTCCTGAAGGCAGCCACTGAGTCACTCCTAGGTCTGCCCAGACAGGATCAAACAAGAAAAGAGGCTGCCTGTACAGCACCCATGTGAGAGCATGTGTGTGCACGCACACACACACACACACACACAGCTGACCTCTTGAGAACATTGTATGACATACACATACATTGTTTGTGATGTCACGATTTTAGGGTTTTTTTTTTTTTTAAGATTTTACTTATTTATTTGACAGACAAAGATCACAAGTAGGCAGAGAGGCAGACAGGGAGGGGGGGAAGCAGGGTCCCCGCTAAGCAGAGAGCCCTCTGTGCGGCTTGATCCCAGGACTCTGAGATCATGACCTGAGCCTAAGGCAGAGGCTTAACCCACTGAGCCACCCAGGTACCCCACAAATTTAGTTTTAATTTTCACTTTGTCCCAGAAATTATTTAGAGAGAGTTTACACATTTCCTGAGAGTGGAATTTTTTTCACCCGCTCTCAAGCTTTCTAATTCTATACTAATTAGATAAGAGATTATTCGTTACGTGTATTGCTTTTTAATGTTTTTATTTATTAAGAATTTTGATGTGATCAGATATGTGAACACTCCAAAGTCATTTGAAAGAAAAGGGTAATATATGTGTGTGTGGTATACTATCCCTCATTGCTGTAGTTATTGTCCCCACTACCTCTGTCAGGAACCAACGGAAAGGAACTAAAATCCCTCAGTTAAGAATTGTCCATTTCTCTTTGTATTTCCTATAGATTTTGATTTATGAGTATTAATGGCATGTCCTTTGGTACATAAATAATTATCAGAGACCTTCACGTGGTTCACCCTCTTATCATCATAGATCACCTTTCATTTCTCACCCAGTGTTGTTGCCCTAGTGTTGATTTCCACTTTGTTGAGTGCTAAGGTTCTGATCCCAGCTTTCTTTTGGTTTATAATGTCTGGTATGATATTGCCCATCCTTTTACTTTCAGCTTTAGTAAATCACTTTTTATGCTGCCATCTTTTGTAAATAATATACAATTAAGTTATAATTATAGTTTTAAGTTATTGAATCAATTTGTGATTTAATACTGTTGTCTTTTTGTTTAAGAGATGGATTTTACCCATTGACTTTTTTATTGCTCTGATATTTGGTTTTTTTAGAGATGTCATCAAATTTGATGTTACAATTTCTTTGTTGTGTGTATGTAATTCTTTCTAACATGGACTTAAATACAGCAGCCCTCCTCTCTCAACCTGTCTTCGAGAGGGAATGAATCAGGTTCCTTATGTCTCTCATTTAAACATCACAACAACTCTGTTAGGAAGGTAGTATGAGTCCAATTTTATAGAAGAAAGCAAAACTAACCAAAAATAAGTGACATGCCCAACGTTACCCTGCATTTCCCTGAAGGCCACGTGGTGGCCATAGTGTGTCATGGCACCTGGAAATGGACAGTGAGGGCTCAAGAGGAACCAGACTGTCTTATATTCGTAAAAACCAAGGGTTCCTGAGGGCACAGAGTGACTTTTTTCCCCAGTCTTGTTATCTAACTTTTACTTCACATTTAAAAAAAAAAAGAAAAAAGATGCCAAAGGATAGTAAATATCTTGAATGATCACTATAATTTTATAGCTTAAGGACATATTCCAATGCAGTTCTCCTTAGGAAGCTTACATAGGCATTTTCACTGTGTCCCATCATTCCAAAATAAAACAGATTTAAGTGCATCACTGCCCGCCCAATCTACACAGCCCCAATTAAGTTCCTTTGCACACCAGATTCTACTGACACAGATTCGCACACAAATCTACATTTGTGGCCAGATTGGCCAAGAGGCACTACTGATATTAACCAGCATGACCAGTGGGGTCAGGAGGTGCAGGTCCACAAAGCATTGTGAAGTGTTTTGTTCAACAAATGAACAAAAATGGAAAACCACTACGTATGCTCTTTCCTTCTATGTCCTGTGTTCTTTGTTCCCACTGCCCAACCCCTGCCTTTGCTTTGGGAACTTTTACCAAGTAAGGGGGAGGATTTCTCCTGATCTGGACCTGCTCTGTTGAAATACTTCTCTAGTCAGTGGTAGCAACAGGATGCAGGACAAGTTTTATTCATGTCCCTTCTCACGCACGAGTGGTTATGTACATACAGCTCAACCCATCTCCAATGGGCACTGGAAACTTCGGTGTTTCATGTTTCCTGGGGAAGCAAGGAAGACCCATTTCCAAAGTGATAACGAGGAGGGGAATTGACATGGCCCACAATAATCTCGCTTGCCACGTTTGCACCTAAATTGGTGGGTGCTAAGCTGATGGCATCAGTGATAAAACAATCCAAAACCTCACTCCATGTTTCTCTTCTGAGATCGCATACCAAAATGTGTTAGTTGGAAAACAAAAAGAAGGAAGAAAGAGGGAGGTAAATATTCAACTAAGTATCGTTATGAAACATAGGGAAACTGAACATCTTTAGGAACCGGGCAAAGGAGGGGGGATGCGGGATTTGCTCATAGAGAGCAGCTTGATTCCTTTGAATGCTGCCTGGGTCACTTTCTATTTGAGTAGCCTCTGGCCAATGGCTTGCCCCAGCTCTATTTCCCTGTTTATAAAATGTGACAAGTTTCTCTCCTATACCACAGGCATGCTTTAAGAGCAAATAAAAATGTGTGTGTCCGAAACAAACAGAGGTGACATGTTCTAAGCCTCAGTACTCTTTTACACTTTTTCTTGTTTCACCACACTTCTTCCCCTGCAGTCTATAAGCTCCAAGAGAGCAAGGACTTTACCCTGCTACCTACCGAGTCTTCCCTATGGTTATGCACCTGAAACTGACATTCCATAAACATTTGTTTATTCTTGGGAGAAAAATCGCAGGGACTTCAAGTTGGAGCGGGAGTTAATCCTTCTCAGATAAATTAGACCATAAAAACTCAGCTGAAAGGGAGTCTGCAAAAGGGATTGATATTTGGAAATCAGACTAGGCACTAAGAAGGACTAAGGATGATAGAAATCAACTCTTGTGTATAAAAGGTTTTATCATGCCTTGAGCCGATATTTTTATCACTTAAGTCATTCTTCTCAGTTGTTTGTAATAAGTTCAAAGCTACTTTACAGGTGACTTTTTTTTTTTAAGATTTTATTTATTTATTTGACAGAGAGAAACACAGCAAGAGAGGGAACACAAGCAGGGGGAGTGGGAGAGAGAGAAGCAGGCTTCCCGTCAGCAGGGAGCCCAATAGGGGCTTGATCCCAGGACCCTGGGATCATGACCTGAGCTGAAGGCAGATGCTTAACAACTGAGCCACCCAGGCGCCCCTACCTACAGGTGGTAATTTTTTTAACATAATTTCCATTTGCAGAAATATGCTACCACGTAATTTTAGGTGGCTGTTCAAAGCTATCTGAGAAAAGGACAGCTTTATTTAACATCCACACGAGGGGGACCAACCTTGACCTCTGGGAAATGGTGTGTCACCAAAGTCTGTCCCCAATATTTCTAGTCTGTCTCCCATCTCCCATTCTCACTCCCTCAGTGGCGTGCTTTTTGCTTTATAAAGAGTTCTTTTTACTCAGTTTTTCTAACCCTTGATCCTTAGTGAAACAGAATCTGATATTCTTTTTTACATTCTGACTAGAACAATGTTTAGGGATCTTCACATTGGGTCTTATGGGTTACCATGGAATCGATGTTTATTTTACCTCAAAGGAACTTCAAACATTTGACAGAACTTTGGGGAAGGGGTCAATCTTGTTCTGGCTGTCATAAAGAAGATACACTTGCTTTTTGGAGAGATAGAAGAGACAGATTTGATGTCTCTCTTTTTCCTTCCCCAACTCATGAGTGACCTGAGGCACTGAGATTCTGCTGCCCTGAGGCATTAAGAACTGGTGGTGGGCAAGAGTCCAGAAGCTTTGGGTTTTAATTATTTTGGAAATGTTTTCAACCTTGATGAAAAAAAATAATTTAATGATGTATGCCATCAGGAAATGAAACTAAGTACACATATGAGTATAATAAAATTATTTAAAATATTTAACTCTTGGGGCTCCCAGGTGGCTCAGTTGGTTGAGAGACTGCCTTCGGCTCAGGTCATGATCCTGGAGTCCCAGGATCAAGTCCCACATCAGGCTCCCTACTCGGCGGGGAGTCTGCTTCTCCTGCTGACCTCTCTCCTCTCATGCTCTGTCTCTCTCTCTCTTTCAAATAAAATCTTAAAAAAGATAAAAAATAAAATATTTAACTCTTTGTGTACAAACAACACAGGCAGCAAACATGCTCCTGCCTCAGGGCCTTTGCCTCAGCTGTTCCCTTTGGCTGCAACACTGTGATTCTAGGGATGCATAGGGTTAGTTCCCTCATGTTTCTCAGGTTTCTGTGCAAATGCCAGCTTGTCGGTATGATTTCCCCTGGCCATGCTATTTAAGGTAACAAATTCCTCACATCCTAGCCTTCATACTCCAGACTGCCCACTCAGCTCCAGAGCCTCCTTCCCTGCTTTGTTCTCTATAGCATTATACCGCCATGTACCATACTGTACATATATTTGTTCATTTGTCATCTGTCTCCACCTCTTATATGGTTAAGCCCCATGAGAGCAGAGCTTTTGTGCGTGTGCGTCAGATATGATGGATCCCAGTGTCTAGAATACAGCCAGACACATAGTGGGCATTTAATAATAACATGTTGAATGAATGCAAACACTAAACTTCTTGTCACTTACATCTAATTGCTATGCCTCACAAAAATGATTTTATACATACATGCTGAAAGAGCCTTGCCCTACGTCCCTCCACAGGACACTACAGTTGGAGAAAGAAGAACAGTTATAGACTAAAATTTTAAAGAAAAAAAAAAAAAAGAAGGAGCTCTGTTAGGGACCAGACAGAGATGTATATATTTTATATAAATTTACAAAATTTGGTTTGCCTATATAACTGAAATATATGTTGCCTAATTCAATGTATTCTTTCTTTATTATTCTTATGGTGATGCTGATAGTGAAATAATTAAAAATTAATAAGTGAGCTCTATCATATTAAAATAAAAAACTGTTTGATCCCATAACAGTATCTTTGCAATTTTTAATACAGATGAACAAAATAACAATTGGAAAAATAAGCCCGTCGGCAAAGAACAGTTAATTAATGAGCAGATAGTTGAAATTACAAGGACCTTTCATGTTCTAGGTAATGTATTTGATTAAGGCTTAAATATTAAAAAATTAACTCACATTCTTTTTGTAGTAAAAATAAAGGTAATTAAAAATAGATTCCTAAACATAAGATAACAATATTTTTCTAAAGTAGTGGTAAAACTAGGCTACCTGAAATTTCCAGGTACACTTGCATTTCGGAGGATAGTAGCTTGGGTAATATGGACTTGAAATTTTCCCTTCAAAGCCAGTGATTTCTTTGACCAATACTGTGTTTTCACACTCTGAAAAAAATATCCAGTAACACACAATGATTTGCAGTTGTGAGATTATGGGAAATGCATTGCATACATTTCTTTAACTACAAAAGCACACTCCTTGATCATCAAACTTATATACTTTTTGAAACTTAAACCAGTTTTTCCAAAAAGAAATAGCACCCTATAGATATATAGCTAAACTTCTTATTTAAATTCTATATTTCTTTTCAATCACATTTTGACTACAGATCTATAGGATGCTATTAATCTCTTTAAAAACATAGCTCAAATATATTTTAAAGCTTCTAAGCCTATTTGTTCTCATTAGTGTATATTTGTTGTTGAAGAAATATACTCAGTTTACATAACATGTTGTTCTGTTTAAATAAAACAATCTAAACATCTATTTTTACTGTAGGGGCATCCTTCTGCTAAAATGTAATTTCCTTTATCTATTTTGTTTGCTGCTTTCCCTAACACCTGGAATCATTCCTAGCATATAGTACATGCTCAATAAATGTTCACAAATTCCACTGTAATACTTCTGAGCTAATCGTATTTTTAATCTTTGGAGTTAGAGATAATTTCCAACTCAACAAAATCTCAAATAGCTTGTTCAATTTGGCTCGTTAAGTCAACTTTGTATTTAGTTTTGTAATAATTTGACCAAACAAACCTATCAAAATAAGCCACTGCCTTAAAATGTAGGTGGACTTATGAAGCTATGACCATCTAACTTAAGCCAGCTCCACTGCCCTCCTTGCCCATCTCTCATTCTGATCCTTTAACCTTGTCAGGGCTCATAAAGAAGTTACAAAAAGACTAGACTTTCAGTGAAGGCTCACTTTTGTTTTACTTCGCCAACCCAAGGCAAAAAGAGAAGAGGGAAAGGAAGCTAGGTCACTTTTTGCTCACTCTCTGACCTAGGAAAACCCATCAAATCTCTGGGTTTTACTTCCGGTGCACTTTCTAGTATGGCATTCACACGTATTGCTATTAACGAGAATTCACGGAAGACAGCCACTGTAGTGTGCTAGGTACTGCACTATTACCACTGAGCTGCGAATGCGCCCTTCTCTGGGGCTGTGACAGGGACTTTTCCAGCAGCTTCTGTCCTTTGCCACCTGGCTTCCTGCCAGGCCCTGCCCATAGGGGGCGCTGCAGGAACACTAGAACCCCGGAGGAGGAAGAACGGGGCTTCCCGCGTTTCTGTTTCCTCTTCCCGGGAAAGTCCCCCGAGCAACGATTCTTACCCCATCCTCCTTCCTCCCCTTTTCTCCCCTCATTCCTTCCCACTTTTACCCCCGACTCTCTCCCGCCCCCGCTCCGCGCAACTACACTTTCTTCCTGTAGCAGAGTTGAACCCTGTTAGCAGTTTTCCCAACTTCCGTTTTATTGCATCTTCCTCAAAGATACAGCCCCGGCCATCTGGCAACCCCTCCTCGAAGGTCTGGGTCCCACGTCCGTGAACACCCGCCCCTGAACTCAGAGACACCGGCTCCAGCTGAGCAGCAACCCCCCTCTCCCCTCCGTCAGGGGTCTGAGTTTCAGTCCACAGAAACCCCCACATTATAAATTGTCAGCGTTGTCACCGATTTCCTTTGTGCCCCCCAGAACTACAGGGGGTAGTTGCTTCCTACAAGTATTACACCCAGAACACCTTAGGTTTTCTGCCTTTTGAGTGACCTGACACCTCCATGCCGAGTTAACAGTTGTTCACATTAATGCTCGCAGTTTAAATAATACAATCTCTCTCCTCTGACTGGACCCTGAGTCAAGGTCCCTGACTAACAGGACTGGTTTTACAACACAGCCTCAGGAGAGATTAGACTGGACTATGATAACAGATATTTTTCAAGGTGACTTTTTTCAATTAGGAAAGACTTACGTTCTTCTGGAATGACCTCGAAAAATGCCCGGATTCCTGATAGCCTCCATATCTGAGGAGACTTAAACGACACCAGCATGAGATTATTTGTGGAGACGAAGGACATTATCGTTCTTGTGGGTTCACAAATTCTGAAACCAGACAACAAAAGTCCATGAGTAATAACAGGTTATTGAGCAGTAAGCCTCCACCCACCGCTAATTCCACCCATCTCCCCCGCCATCCACACAGTTCTTGTTAGGCACACTCCACCAGCCAGATCTTCAACTGCCACAGGGCACCACAGAAGGGAGGTGATAAAGATATAGAAACTTTTGCCCGGTAACTATCAGAGAATTCTCCTGGATGGCTGTCACTGGACCCCCCTTGAGATGCAACAAGGCATAGGCAACTACTGAAATGGCTACAGTCCTGAGTTCTGGCCTCAGGAAAACTGGGTTCAAAACTCAGCTCCATCACTTAACTGGCTGAAAGAGCCTGAGCAGTCAAGGAACTAATCTTCAAAGATGCCAGCTCCCCGACTGTGAAAGGGTGGTAGTACCAAGATTCTATTCCTCACATCACTGGGGTGAGGATTAAGTGTGGTAATAGCAAAGTATGTCTGGAAGGATGAAAAAAATAATCATAATAATAATAACTGAAGAATCAGAGCCAGTGACCAACTTATGTTTCACTGTAACCATTACGTACTGTTGAAATTTCTAGTAATGCATATTCATCACCAAAATATACATACGTAGAACACGGTTGCATACATACATAAGCACTATTAAAAATAATAATCCATGTGCCTTTTTAGCACAGTAACAAATACCAAATTTTTAATAAATTATAACTATCATTATTAAATCATCAAGATAATACTTAATAAGCACTCACAAAAAGATGTCTGCTAGTAAGTAAAAAATATTAGGGTATGTATAGATATGTGTGTGTGTAATTATGTATATATATAGGAATGAAAATATTTGTGCAAAAACATAACAGATAGTTCTAGGTAATGGGATTGTGAAATATTGATCTTGTTTTTCTCTGTTTACTTTCATAATGAACACTGTTTTATCTTTATAATAAGGGAGAAAATTTAATTGCTTTACTAATGGTGTGCAATCATCAGAAGATTTATTCTCACGTGCTAACGAAACAGTAGATTTCATTGCAGTTGCAATAAAAGTAAAATTAAACAGAAGAGTCAGCTAGATTTCAGAAATATTGGATGACCTTCCTACTATACTGATTTTGACCCTCGTATGCGGCAAGTAAACAGTGAACGTTGTGTCCCATAGGCTCTGGCTCATACAGGGGATACTAAATAAGGCATGGGTCAGTTCTTTGATCTCATGAGCGCACACAAAAATAGTTTTAAAAGTCTAAGGGAAACAAGATACTTCCCAAGAGAGACACTGTAAAAAAGTCTTTACTCGCCAGAGTACCTATACAAGATGGTGTTCCGGATTGGCAAGAGGGAGTCGTAAACGGTCAGGGAGTCAGTGACACAGTTGTCAGCTTCAATCTGGACGGACTCTATCGAAAGACGAATCAGATAGCCCACGATGGCCACCAGCTTGAAATGACACATCAGCCTCCCTGAGGTTGCAGAAATCTCCAGAGGGTAGCGGAGAGACAGATGATCTGCATAGAAGTACTGAGAGCAGCCTTTGTCTGTGGAGACAGCACTTCGTTTTGTTTTAGGAACTTTTTAAAAAAAAATTTTTTTTAAAGATTTTATTTGTCAGAGAGAATAAGAGAGAGAGAGAGAGAGAGAATGAGAGAGAGCAAGCAGGAGGTGCAGCAGGCAGAGGGAGAAGCAGGCTCCCGGCGGAGCAAGGAGTTCGATGTGGGACTTGATCCCAGCAGCCTGGGATCACGACCTGAGTGGAAGGCAGGCATAGACGTTTAACTGAGTGAGCCACCCAGGTGCCCCAGGAATGACTTTTCTATATCTTTATAAAGAGTAAGGACCAAAGAGTTCATATGGAGGACATCTGCTGTTTTTGCCAGCCTGGAATCTGCTCCACTCTCTTCTGGTAACAGCACCAAGACTTCACTTTGAGAAACTACCCCTACCCTGCCTGTATGGTTTGGTTGGGGTTAAACTCACCTCTACGACCAGAGATGGGCACATGACCCAGACTGGCTAATCAGAGTAAAAGAAGCTGGTTCATGAATGGGCAGGCCAGCCGATCTGAGGCACTAAGTTCAGCCCCAGAACTTCTGAAAAAATTCTGGAAATTTGTGTGGGCTTTTTTTTTTCTACTATTGTTGCTACTGGTAAATTCTAAGCTAGGATCTACTGGTTGCAATTCATGACACTGAGTTAGAAGAATACACTCGAAGCTTCCACAGGGGAAAGCAAGGATGCAGAGTTCTGATGATATTTTATTTTGCAACCTGGCCCCAAACACGCCTGAAGACAGCACATTCCATGTATGTCCCAGTTATAAGAGCCAATCACGTTTCTTCTGGGCTTAAGCCAATTCAAGTGTATTTCTGTCACAGGCAACTGAAAGAGCATTACCAAATACCAACATTTGAAAAAGAAAACTACAGCCAAAAAGGATATTGATTTGGAGACAGGGTAGGAGAAACTGAATGTCATACTTTACCAGATCCTATGGTTGAAGAATAATCTGACCGAAGCCCAGCTGCATTGAAAAAACACAGGGAAAAGAGACTGTCAGTTCCAGCATTCCATTTTGTTGGAATTTTGCTTACTGAAAATTCCTTTCAGTCCAGCAATTCATCATTTCTGGGATTTGCTTTAAAATGATCTAGGGAGGGAAGGGGAAGTTGTCTGTGTATTTTAAGAGCAAGTGGGACGGCCATGAGTTCATAGTTGTTGAAGCGGAATAAAGGGTATATGAGAGTTCATGACACTATGCTCTTTACTCTTCTTGATGCTTGAAATTGTCCATAGTGACACATTTTAAATATCTTTAAGGGTAAAAAGCAACAAAAGAAATATAATAATAATTAGTCCTAGATCTGAAATAGTATTTGTGGTGCAGACTTTTCCACTAGAGATATTTCATTCATTCATTACTTACCGGCCACATACTTCTACATTACATGCCTGGCATATGGAGATACATATATAAAATTTAATATGATTAATATGATTTTAATAAGATTTTAATTTACATTTAAATGATTTGATATGATTTAAATCAAGAGAGAAAGCATAATTTTGGGGTCACACAATTAATTAAAGTATTTTACTGGCAAATCAAACTATGAAGTTTGCATTTTGGCAGAGCTATTCAACAAGCCATTGTGGAACACTGGGCAGCTCTCTGTAGCACAGCTGTAGTTCTGTCTGGACAAGGGAAAAGACAAGGTAAGCTTCAGCAAAATTCTCTCTTCTTCAGGACTCGGAGACTTACTTTGAAGATTCATGAATTAAATATAGGGCAGGGGACACTTGAACAAATTCAATCTCACATATATTTTGAACCCACTTGTATTGCCCAATCATCGTATATAACACTTAGCAACTTCCTTTATCAACACCCTCAGCTAATCCTGTTTCACTGGGATTGTGGAAAGAATACTTCATTATAATATTGACTGTGTTTAATAGCAGTTTCAGGAGTGCTGCAGGAAGGAATGCATGAAGGAGAATTACCCAACAATCACCATTTAGTACCACAGAGTCCATGTCAACAGCCAGGCCCTGCAAGCTCCCCACAGAGGTTCGGTTTATGATGCTCGTCTGGATGGAGTCCTTCAAAATGGCAGCCACACAGTCCTCACAGAAGATATGGCCCTTGGCATTTGGCATGACAAATACAATCCAAAAGTGGACAAGGAGGCCACCTTTGTTGTTGCCACTATAGAAAAAAAAAAAAAGAGGAATGTTCAGGTATATATCTTAGGAAGTGGACTCTCATAGAAAGCCAGTGACCCAACTGAATGATTCAAGGTAAGTCAGTGAGGACATCCTTCAACTTCCAAAATTTCTTTTTTAAGAAGTCACTGATTCCTATTGTTGGAACTGGGAAGAGAAAGCATCATAGTATGTGTCTTGCTGTGTTGGGTTCTCATCTAGAATCATTCGTGTATAGTTGCATTTCCCTGGAAAATACACTATTTTTATGGATATCAGAGATTCACTGCTATTACAAATAAAAACAGCTATGATTTTTGACACTTTACCATGTCCAGACACAGTGCTAAATTCTGCTTTATCCCACTTAATCTTATGAGGAAGGTCCTATTATTGCAGTTTTACAGAAAAGGAAGTCAAGATCAACTCCAACTGAAAATTATATGGCTAGTAAGTAGCAAATCCTGGAATCCAGTCCAACTTGGTTTTCAGCCAAACCCTGGAGCAAGAGCTCTAAGTGCACAAATACTGTCATGTTTTATGAAAAACAAACCTTAAGTGTTCTATGGTAAATAATGTAGGAAAGAGAAAGTAAACAAACTGTTCTACTCCCAGACTTCTTTTTTTTTTAAAGATTTTATTTATTTATTTGACAGAGATAGATCACAAGTAGGCAGAGAGGCAGGCAGAGAGAGAGAGAGGGAAGCAGGCTCCCTGCTGAGCAGAGAGCCCAATGAGGGACTCGGTCCCAGGACCCCGAGATCATGACCTGAGCCGAAGGCAGGGGCTTAACCCACTGAGCCACCTAGGTGCCCCTACTCCCAGACTTCTTAATGTCTTTGGTATGCCAAAGGGAATTGTGAGTCTCAGCAGATATGCAGGAAGTGAGGGGACATGGCACACAGTTTGAGAAATAAGTTTTGATAAAACAAATCAATTAAAAATTCATAAAATTTTTAATTTTATTTATGAATTTAAAATTCATAAAAATTTTGACAAATTATTTGACCATGAGATCCTTTATTTCCTCAGAAATTCTCCAGTGATCAGTTTTTAGCTGAACATATTTTGAAAAATCCTGCACTGTGTTTTGATTTTACCCCCACCCAATGGTAGCCATATTTGTGGCCATTGTGCCCAGGAGCATTAATACGGGGAGGTGGGGGCAGGACCCCAGCTGTGGGGAGAGGACAGGCTTTAGCAGATGCAGAGAAAAACTCAGCATGACAGCAGGGAAGAGTTGGGTCGCCAGTTGTGGTAAAACGTATTAACCCAAAGCCGCCCCCAGGAAGTTACTGGAGAATGGTCATAGCTGAGCCCTTCCACAGCCTTGAGAGGAATTTACAGAAGTAAACACAGACGTCCCAAAGCAAGGGACATACATTACCTGACATCTGCAACGACAGACTGCTTGTAAAATTTAGAGAAGGCAGATGATGTATAAACCAGGTTTACCTAAAAAAGAAAAAACGAGGTTTCTGAAGTCTTTCAAATTGGCTTCATCTATAGTACCTAGCATGCTGTAGGTCCAAACTCTGACAGCTAGCAGGGAGAAAAGCAGGGCTCTGGCTGAAGCCTCAGGTGCTGAGTTACTTACTGTCCCTGTGCTCTCTATGAAGAATAATCAGTTACCTTCGTTCATTCACTACTGTCTTGAGACACCCTAATTAAGCTTAACTTCTGTATTCTGCCTACTCCAAAGGTTAATTATCTCCTCAATTAATAAGTTAAACTCCTTTAAGTACATTTTCGAAGTACTTGACCTAACCTCTTTTCTCGCAATGCAGTCTAGAAAATTTATATTCTTAAGGACACATTGCCGTCCGAGCCACTAGGGGGCAGGCGGTGCCTTCCGCCGGGTCTGGTCTCTAAGGAAACACCCAGCCCTTTTAAAACTCCAGAGTTGGAGCCAGAAGAGAACTACTTCAATTTACCTTCTTGGCCCTTTCTTAGCATTTCTAACGCCACACTGAGTCTCTGCGAAATCTCCTGCTCCTGTGTTCCCCTTCCTACCTAATGGCGAAGTCACCCACCTTAATTGTGAGGTTTAAATTCACTATGCAACACGGAAGGTGTTATAGAAAACCGCTGAGCCCCACTATGTGTTTCTTTTTCTTTTTCTCTTTCTCTATTTTTCTCTCTCTTTTCTCTTTCTCTCTTTTCTCTTTCTCTTTCTCTTTCTTTCTTTTCTCTTTTTCTTTCTCTTTTCCTCCCTCCCTCGCTTCCTCCCCTCCCTCCTTCCTTCAGAATCTTTGGACTAATTCAAGGAATAACTGATACACAGTAAAGGTGAAAGGTTTAGCTACATAGTCCGTGTGAGGGTGGCCTTCAGGAAATAGGAGTCACTGTGCCCGCTGTTTTAGCTTGCCCTCTCTCACACACAGCCTTTCCCCAGTCTACAGGGCAGGGCGCCTGTCCTGGCAGTAGGGGCGCCCCTGTGTAGGGTACCTTCTCCATTACTGTGCAGATACAAATTGGCAGAAGCTTTCTGGTGGGTAATGTATATCAAGAACCGTGAATAGATTATTTTATACACTTTTAGGGGATCAGTTAAGGAAGTAATCACGGATATACACAATCTATGGAGCAGTTTCATGTAGCATTACCCATAGGAGCAATAGACAGCTTGAATATCCATAAGAAGAGATTGACTCTGCCATTTACAACGAGGTGGATGGAACTAGAGGGTAGAGGGTATTACACTAAGGGAAGCAAGTCAGTCAGAGAACACAAATACCATAAGATTTCACTCGTATGTGGAATTTAAGATACAAAACATGAACAAAAGGGAAGGAAAAATAAAATCAGAGAGGAAGACAAACCGTAAAAGACTCTTAATTGTAGGAAACAAAGTGAGGGTTGCTGGAGAGGAGGGGGGTGGGGGGATGGGATAACTGGGGGATGAACATTAAGGAGCATTTGATGTAATGAGCACTGGGTATTGTATGAAACTGATGAATCACTAAATTCTACCCCTGAAACTAATAATACCCTATATGTTAACCAAATTGAATTTAAATAAAAAAAAATTTTAAAGGGATTGGCTAACTTTGTAACTATTAAAACTTACATTTTTTAAAGAATGTACTTGCATAGAAACATATAACCTAATGTTAAGAGGAAAAATTCAGATTATAAATCTGAACATCTACTAATATTCCAATATTGTGCTGTCCTATATGTCTCTGTGGCCCAGAATAAAAAGGGCTCTATCTTTGCAGATGATGTTAAAGAAAGTTTTATTGTTCCTTTTTGTAATTTTCTGAATTTTATAATTTTTTATGGTTAAATACATATTAAATCTATAAAGAGAGTTTTTATTTTGGGTTTTTTTTTTTTAAGTAAAGAGATTCCAATGTATTGAGGTTGATATAAATGTGTACAGCTCCTAGAATTAAGCAGTATGATTATAACTTTAGTTCTGGAAGGCATTTTAAAGATCAACTGATCCAATTCCTTTATTTTACAGATGAGAAAAACTGGAGCTCAGAGAGCTCTTACTTTCACTTTCAGCAATAAATAAAATACATGAGTAAACAAATTAAATTAAATTAATTAGCAATTCTATCAAATAAGCAATTACAGCCAAGATGAGCTAAATACCGCATTCCCTCTGACTACTTCCTTGATCCTCCCCGCTCACCTGGGAGCACGGTCACCTTGTGATCCCTCCACCCCAAACCCTCACCCCCTGACCCCACTCTCCCCAGCCTCCCACACAACCCTCCCTCCTGCCTTCCCCCCACACCCTCCATCATCTCACCACTTGCTGCACAGTCTGTGCCACTGACAGAAATTCCCTGGACTCTTTCTGTCGGTATTCAGGAAGAAACTCAATGTTAGTGATGCGAAACATCCCAACAAAGTAAAAAACATCTCTGCTTTCTGTCTTACCTGTAAGACAGGAGAGAAAGCGGGTAAGGGACTCTTCCCTCTGTGTGGCAGTGAGGCACTGCCTGATTTATGTCAGCATCAAGCTCCTCAAATGGTTTGTGTCATTTATTTACTTATTTTAAAGATTGCATTTATGTATTTGTCAGAGAGAGTGGGCAAGCACAAGCAGGTGAAGCTGTACACAGACAGAGAAGGAGGCTCCACGCTGAGCAAGGAGCCTGATATGAGACTCGATCCCAGGACCCTGGGGTCATGACCTGAGCTGAAGGCAACTGCTTAACCCACTGAGCCACCCAGGTATCCCTGTTCAAATGGTTTTATTGGACAGCTACATATGTTCCTGGCTCTTAGCCTGGGAAGGCTCTAAATGTCGTTACTAACAACACTTCCATTAGCAGTAGATCATCATTTCTCTTCGGATAGTCTGTTCTCTCTACTGACTCCTGGTAAATACTTCTGAGCAGACTAAAAGGTAAAAGATAGAACTTGTTGACTTTATACACATGCTAGAGTCACTAAGGGACCAAAAAGAGCATGTGCAATTTCCATGGATCCTGAGTCTGAAGACAGCAAGGAGGTAAGAAATGTCTACTCTGAGGTCAAGTGAGCATAGTGTGGGAGAAGGGAAAGGCCCTCCGGCTGATGGTCACTGAGCTCCTGGGGCCTCCTCCTTATCTGACCTGTGAGGCTGATACGCAGGATGCTGGGTGAGTCTTCAGCTCTGTGCAATACATGGAGAATTCATTCTTCCTCTGAGCCACAAAGCCTGGTTCTCAACCCAGTGTCAGTCACTCATGCTTAAGTACTCTGCCTGGTAAGGACCATGGGATCTGGTGTCAGGCTGCCCAGAAACCACTGATGACACGACACGAGCAAGAACACTGCTGTGTCTGACTTGCCTTAGAGCACCTGACTATAGCTTGGGGAACTGTTGCAGGGGGTGGGGGGGGAGGGGATTAGGGGCTCTTCTTTCTGCCTTTCATTTTTGTTACCACGGTCTTACTCCTCGGTGGTACCCTTCGCCTGGCTCCCGTGGCCGTGGTATATTTCTCCCCTTTGATGTATGTCCCACTATATCATAACTTCTGTCAGTATGTCTGTCCTTTAAGAGTAACAGTAACTTCTTTTTGTCCCTCAGCATCTTTCATAGCTCTGAAGCTCAATAAATGTTTGAGGAAAGAAAGAGAGAGAAGAAGGGTAGTAGAGGAAGAAAGGGAGAAATTTTCTCTGCTAGAGTAATGCCCAACATTGAATTAGGCTGAGTTAGGAAGAAGGGGCACCTAGGGGAGTGATAGGAAGCCACCCCCTTTGTGTGAGCCATCCAGGGTCACAGTAGCCCCATGGGGGGAGTGAGGCTGTGTAGGTGTGGGAGGGGGCACATTAAAGGCCTGAGCTGATAGGCTAGATTTGTTTTTTCAAGCTACGTGACCTTGGATGGATCACCTTGACTCACTACCCTCCCATATAAAACAATGTTTGTTTTCAATTCTGATTTTCACAAGGAACTGCTTCTTAGATTTTTGTTGTTGTTGTTACAGACTCTAAAATTTGAGTGAAAGCCCCGCCTTCTATCTAGAAGCTCACACAGTCTTCCTGCATCAGTAAATACTCAAGGGTCCGGATAACAACAACACAAGTGAGATCCATTTACCCTTGAGCTAGATTACGTTTACCCAGCTCTTCAGCTCAGCCCAACGTACAACAATCTGCATGGTCACAATATTGTTGTTTGTTGAACAGTTCTCGGTTGTTCATACCCGTTTCCCTTTGCTTATACTGTTCCGTCTTCCTGAAACGTCCTTCTCTGATTTTTCACACAGACAATAGACTGCTTCTACACAGTGATGTCCCAAATCTTTACACAAAGATGCTAAGGCAATTCAAATTTATCAGTGGGGGGCCGGCAGAGAACGGATGGGAAATAAGTTGGTTCGTTCTGGGTTGGGATTGTGTTTTGTGTTTCTTTTAATTGCCTATTTGCTTGACTTCCTTCCCTAGTCTTCAAGCTCCTTCAAGATACAGATTCTGTCTGCTCTCCAGCTCTGCGTCCATGCCGATCACAGGACACAGCTCACAGTGGGCATATCAAGATATGAAAGAAATAAATTTTGAACAACCAGTTCATGAAGCCTTCCCTGGACCCTATTCCTGGGCAGATTAGATGCCTCTCTTCTGTGATCACAAAGTAATTGCTTCAGCAAAAAAAAATAAGATATTAAAAAAAAATTAAAAATCAACTTGCATCCCCTCTCTAGCACTAAACTGAGTTTTCTGAAAATGGAAAATGCATCTGTGAGCTTTCTGAAGGTAGGAGATATATCTTGGTATGTCTGATGTCTTACGTTGTGCCTTGCAAATTGTAAGTAATCTGTGTGTGTGTGTGTGTGTATGTGTGTATATAAATACATATGTCTGTGTGTATATATATATATATATATATATATATACACATACATACATATATATAGATCCTGAACTGTTTAATACAATATTCATTCATCCTTTGCCTATAAATCCTGCCTCACAACCAATTTTTAATATCCTTGAGAGTACACGTATCTTGTATCAAACATATTAACATGTGTGGGGTTGGAAGTTGAGCATCAGCCACCAAATGCTATAGGGACTGAGCGGCATGGGTAAGTACTCTTTAAGAAGAAGCTTAGTCAGAGCTCCTGTCCAAAAGGATCAGTCAGATAGACCAAAGCATAACCAATCAGCTTGACAAAAGCATAAACACAGCAGAGAGAAAGATGCATGAATAAGAGGAAGCTCGGGAGCTGGAAATATGAGGTTGCCTAGAAACCAGCAATGGGTGGGATGAGGAAATGAAACAACTGAGAATCCCATTCACTTCTTAAAGCTAAAAATGCATTACATTTCTGAACTTACCCAAAGCTCCTGAGCTCCTCCGCAGCTCTTGTCATCCTATCCCCCATCCCTGCTCCTCCTGCCCTCCCGTGGCAAGAAAGCAGTGGTGGTAAAAGAAGGAATGGGAAAGACAATTCTGCTTTCTTCCTCCCTAAATCCTCCACAGTTTTGGGAGTGGCTACCAGTCAGGGAACTTGGGAAAATCTCTTAGACATACCCCAGGCAGCTGGGGCACGCAGTGCCGATGCCGATACCACAGGACAAGGCCTAGCCCCAAAAGAACACAGATTTTCACTCACTGATGTAGAGCCACAGAAGTGTCCAGGCTATGACTGCAAGGATGAAGAGAAATACTGTGAAGACAATGATTTTGTTTTGGACGTTCCAGAAGGGAGCTTTCTTCTTGGATAGCTTCTTGGGTTTGGCTTTGCTGATGGGTTTTCGAGGTGCTCGTCTACCTGGCAGCTTCCCGTGGGCACTGACCACCTGAACTGAGATATTGGATATCTTAAAAAAAAGAGAGAGAGAGAGAGAGAGAGAGAGAATAAAAAAAAGAGAAGAAAGAAAAGGAAAGGAAAGAAAGAAAGGAAAAGGAAAGAAAGGGTGAGAAGAGAAGAGAAGAGAAGAGAAGAGAAGAGAAGAGAAGAGAAGAGCAGTCTAGAACACATGTGGACTGGAGTCACCCCGTCAGGAGAATCTTAGTGCTAAAAGGCCTCAAAATATCAGTCTACATCATCAATACAAGTATAAAGAATGACTTCCATTAAATCATGTAATTGAGAAAAATCAGACATTATATGAACCCCAGTGAAGTATTCATTATATGAATCCTAGATCCTCTCCTCAAACTCTCCAGTTCCACTAAGTAGATGCTATAGAGGATGGACCCGAATTTCCTGGAGGGTGGCCCAGAGGACCCGAAGGTCAGGAGGTCAAGAGTCTAGGAGGGTCCTCTCATGTGTACAGAGCTCACTGTGGGAATAGGTGGGTGTTTCACGTATTTGTATCATGTTGCCTTTCTCCCACCATCAATTTCTCCTGTCTGAGGCAGGACTGAAAACAAGAATATAAGTGAGTGCCTTATAGAAACAAATTGATTTCTCACTTATGGCTTCCTGACTGGGTGTTAGAAGAAAAAAAGTTGACATTCCAGTTTTCGTGCAAGGCTGTGGGATAGGAACCAGGGCCTCCTGTGTGTGCATAAGACAGCCAATGTGCTGGTCAGGGACTCAGCATCTCAATGGCAAACAAAAGAATTATTTAAAAATAAAGAATGAAATAGAAGACTCGGAAAATTATTGGTTTTAGCATATGGATCTGCGAAGTATCCCGTGCAAGAGAAAAAAATACATTATTTAATTGTTTCCCTTCTCTTTTTTTTTTTCTCCTCTACCCTCTGTCATCAGATGCTGTGAATTCTTTAATAATGTATGCAAGAGTTTAGCTTCTTTGAAGGAGAGATTTATACATGTCAGGGTAACTAAACTCCAGTGATGAAATAACTTTTAACCACACATTCCTTTAAAGGCAACAATCTAGCACACCAGTTCTAAAGAGATCATCTCTCTTTTGAGTGCTCTTAAAGAGTTCTCTCATTCTCTCATACTCTCCCTCACTCTTCCATTCAAAGTCCACATCTTTAATCCTACCAGTTAATAGGATAATATGTTGCCAAGTATATTCTGAATTATTCATGGCCCCCTCATTCTCTTTGCCAAACACCCTTGTCCACCCCTGGAGTGAAATGTAGCTTATATCCCTCCCGGTGAAACTGAACTAGACCAGGCTTCGTTGAATGGGATGTCCTGCAGGCATGAGGCTGGTGTTTCTCCAGAGAATAACATTCTATTGCAGGACAAGCTATGGTGCCAAATTATTTTCAAATATTTGCCCAAAGAAGTCAAAAAGGGGAATGCACAGAAATGCTGGCGCATGTAGGACGGACAAGGCCAAGGTTGGGTCCTTCAGGGAAGGAACACATTATAGGCCGTTTCAGTTAGCACTGATTAAATTTTAAAATGGAATTTGTATAGAGATCAGTACAATTTCCCTGGAGTTTTAGAAAAACAGTTGCAAATCAATTGCCAAGTA